GTTCAGTCAACGAAGTGTCCGCAAAAACATGGCGGATTTTGAGTGAAAATGACGCCATTTCCATGACTACTGGTCCCTAAATTCATGGTAATTGCCACTGAACAAGGCTCAAATATGAGCCCGCCACAGTTTTCACCCCCCCCCCCGGTTTTTATAAAAATATTTCGGCTTTTTGCAGTGAATCCTACCCTGGATTCCAGAGCCTTCGACAGTAAATAATAAATTGAAATGTCGCGAAGGCTCTGGTTCAACGGGGCGATTCTTTGATTAAACCGCGCCAATCACAAAACAGAATTAGTGGTTTTAGTACAGATTCTGTACTAAAACCATTAATTCTGTTTTGTGATTGGTGCGGTTTAATCAAAGAATCGCCCCGTTGAACCAGAGCCTTCGCGACATTTCAATTTATTATTTACTGTCGAAGGCTCTGGAATCCAGGGTAAGTGAATCCTTGTTGTTTTGATATTTTCGACATATTTTTTCGACTGTTGACCATTTGTTCAAAGGTGTGGAAGCCGTACACGTTAATTCTCGTCCGTGGAGCGTGAAAGACAACAAACAACTATTACTGTAAAACCTCGCGAAAGCCGAAATGTGGGCAAAAACGATACTTCAAGCCAGAGCAAACATCCGTATTTATCAGACTATATTCAAACAGGTATTTATAAATATTTCAAAATTCACATTACTATTTAAGTCCCCCAACATTTCGCGGAAACATTTTTTAGGTGCCCTTTTCAATATCCAAAGTGCACCTGGAAGCCGGTGCTTCCCCAATCTTTTGATGCTTCCTACGCCCCTGTAATCGCTGCAGTCGGAAAATTGAAATACTTCAAGGAGCTTTTATATCACACTCATATGCATATTACCACAACGAGGTTGGCTATATTGCGAGTCTGCGAGTCTAGACGTAGACCGTAATACGAAAGCGATCCATGGGCTCCTTTAAAAGCTGAAGCAACCCAACAAAGTTTATCGGAATTCGAAGAACTAACGCAGAATTTCACTGCAGAAGGTTTTGACGAAAACGAAGCTAAAGACAAGGCATATTTACTTATCCTACCAAAACTTCGTAAAAATTTGCAGAATATTTAGTGGAACGTGTACTATGGATAAGACAACTAAAGAGAAATCCAATACACAAAAAGATTATGGAAACCAGGGATGTCTTTGTCAATGATGATAATTTCGACCACAGGGAAGCGTTAGAGCCGCTATTGACAAGAGAAAATTTCTTTTGAAAAGACTTTTCAGAAACACACGGTATCGTAATGACATTGACTCTTAATGGTTGTTTGTCTTTGATTTATAAAAATAAAATACGATCCTGTGTGGTAGCTATTTTCCCTTAACCCATTTCTCGAACTCTCTGCCAAGTCCCGACAAACCTTCGAAAAGGCCTTTGGGGCCACAACTATTTAATGTTAACATCAGTTGACATTTATCGTTTGACACTATGCCTCGGAAGAGGGCCCCCTATACTTTTTGCGTGAAGCGTGAAGGGCTTATTTTACTTAGCCGTGAAACGTGATCGGGCCCCCTATACGTTTTGCGTGAAGCGTGAAGGGCTTATTTTACTTAGCCGTGAAACGTGATCGATGATTTTCTTAATCCGTGACTCGTGAAAAGGCAAAATATTTTTACGTGAAAGCATATTGTGAAGAGGTATAGGGGGCCCTCTCGGAAGTGTAAAGATTGTCCTATCTGCGGCAAGCGAGCTTTAAAAAGATTGGCAAACCATTTGGTGAGAAGGTTTGGTGGAAAAACGAGCCAAGAAACAGTTATTGAGCTAATGAATCGAATAAATACTTATACCATACTTATACCAAAAAATTTTAAAAATTCCCTGTATTTAGATATTCGCCATATTGATCGCCACGCTGTTTAGCAAGAAATCGACATGTCAACTTGTCCCGGCCCGGAAATGTCCTGTTTACTTGGTACACAGGATATTAATAAGATAATGTGAAAATATGATGATAAAAGTATCTTTTAAAAAATAAATCCTCTCAAACCTCGATTTGAAAGGCTTTTAAAAACGCTAATCCGTTCGGAACCTACAGATTCGAGGGGTGGTATTTAAGCTTGCGCAAGGCAAAGTTTGAAGACCCATATCTTCGCAATCACGCAATTAATAAAAAATTGCCACGAGGAAGTTGAGGAGAATTCTTTTAAGAACAACATATATGAATTTCATGGCAAAAAAACAAAAAGACGCTTGCAGAAAAGCTCTGAAGTAACCCCATATTTTTGTTTACAAATTTCATGTGATGAAGCGTTTTACGCATTCTGATTGGCTTAGGGCAAAAATGTAAACAAAAGCGCTGATTGGTCGAGAACGAAATTCCCCCTTGTTTAGTAAGCCAATCTTAATCCCTCTATTGTATCACACACGTGGAGGGACGCTAAAAAATGCCTATTCAGCAAGTTTCATCCAAACTTGCCCGCGTAACCTCGTTGCTTGCCTAAGCTTGCCCGCGTGACGTCATTGCATATAATTATGACGTATTGTATACTGAGTGACGTCACTACGCACCCTCATTTGTATGAATATTAATTACCTCACCTTCAAACTCCACCACCTCACACTCCACCACCTCACACTCCACCACCTCACACCATCACCTCAAAAATAAGGCCCGAACGGCCCTATATTACTACTCGATCCGGTAGTACTGAGCAATCAAGTGGAGGGATATCTGCATTAACAGATGTATAGAAACTGTTAAGACTGTTCACCAATTCGGAATCAGATAAGATTTTCCCATCACGCTCGAGACTGAAGCTCGTGTTCTTTCTTGATCTTCCGGACATTTTAGTTTACAGCATTCCACCAATTTCGACAATCATATTTACAAAGATGCTGAATCTTATCCCTATAAAACATTTCTAATTTCCTCTGTTTTATTTCTGATTGCACTTTGCACTTCAATAGTTGCGCCATTGTTGCTTATCACCTCTATAGATGGCTTTTTGACGATCTTTAATAAGTTGCTTGATTGAATGGGTTATCCAAGGTTTGTCGGTGTGATGTAATTTCACTGTCTTTAGTAGGAAGATGTTATTAAGAGCATTGGTCACTTGTGATGAAAAGGAGGTAACCAATTCATCCGTCCCTGGATTATCGCTGAGTTCGTCAAACCAATTTTTTGAGCAAGCCCAACGTCCGAAAACCACAATCCAGACCGAGGATAACGTCTCATGCACTAAGTGCTTTATGGGCTTAGGTTTGGGGGTCAGAGTATTTATGGCATCCTTAGTAAGAGGAAGCCAGTGAACTATGTTATGATCCGAAGTGCTAAGCGGAGCCAGTATATACGGCTTCTCGTACAAGTTATGCAAATTGGTTGCAATAAGGTCAAGGATAGCAGACCCTGCAGACTCTTTGGTAGGTAAATGGACAATTTGCTTTAAGCCATGGTTGGATGCTAGATTATATAAATCAAAGTTTTTAAAATCTCCAAGAATAACAATTCCACAATCCGGATATTTATTACGCAAGCAGTCAGTAGTGTCTATCAAATACTGGTCAAGATCACGAAGCTCTTGAGCTGAACGATCTGGGGGGTTGTAGATAAGACAAACAGCAATCCCCGACAAGGGTCTGGGTAAGCGTCCGGGACGAAGCCAAAGCCACAAACACTCGAAGCTTGAATTCTCCAAGTCTAGCCTTCGCTGGCAGGGAATATTTTCCGACAAGTAAATACAGACACCGCCTCCGCGTGCGTGCGACCGATCATTACGATAAATTTTATAACCACTAAGTGCTATGAGGTCATCAGAGATATCCTCGTATAACCACGATTCAGTGATAGCAATGATGTCTGCAGGGTTGCTAAATAAAAGCGCTTGCAGTTCGTCAACTTTCGAAAAAAGCGAACGTGTATTAATAAGATAGTAGCTTGGAAGCCAGGAAAAATTACAATTATTGTTAGTACGTATACTAATGTCACTTTTTCTCGTAACTGGAACGAGTTGACCGTTGTATGATCTCTTGTGGTATACTGTACGCTGAGAAGATATACGTAAGGTGATTCTATAACCTGAATTGGCATTTTTATCACTTCATCATGCGTTGAACCAGCTTCAAGTGGTTGAGCCAATCCTGTTTGTGACAACGATTGCGCGTTAGCCGACTCCGTTTTTTCCAAATGAGCCTCAAAAAATGATCATCGATTTCATCTGGTGCAACGTACTGTTTTTGATGCGTGTACGAAGTGCTTTTCCTTTTGACCATTAAACATGTTTATTGTTTAAGAACTTAACGAATTGCAGTTTATGTTTTCCTTCAATGAGGGGCAACTTTCCCAGCCAGTCTACCGGAAAGGAATTCTTCTTTGTATTTTTTAGCATAGGATATGACGAGGCAGTTTGGACCTTTGGTGTTGTTTTGGCATCAGTTGTAATTCTCATGGTAGGCAGCGGTGAGATATTAGCGAGCTTAAGCATGTAGGACGGCAACACGATGACGACGGCCAAAACAAATTCCTTCAAATAAATGATAGTAAAGATAACTTGTCGTATATTATAATTCGTATGAATTTAATACAGTATAAGAAGTTGAAAATATTGGCTTTATGTTTGGGAAGAGTTCTACTGAACGGAATTTAAGTTGCACTTGGCACGTCTTGAAATGCAGGCGATGTACAAAAGACGTGAAAATCTGTGATTTGCCGTTGTAAACAGAGCTACGACCACGTCTGAATCTCCCCCTGGGACTTTAATTATTTATTCACTTTTCATTGACTCATTGTATTGGTTGCCGTCGTCGTCGTGTTGCCGTCCTACATGCTTAAGCTCCCTATTTTGTATAGTCGGGTTGACTTCAGGCACTATGACATGTTGAGCACTATGGATTGCTTGTGTGTTTTGTTACGTTTGGCTCAAATCATCACCTATCGCTGTCGAATCGCTAACAGAATTATATATTTTATAAGTTATATCATACAAACCGCACAGTTTCCTCTCAATTTCGGATAGCTTAATCGCCATATCCTCGCAATTAATTACTACAATGAGGTTTCTCAGCCGCAACATCGGTTGTGGGCACATCGGTTGTGCCACATCGGTTGTGGCGTGCCACATCGGTTGTGGGCACACTATTCACGGGCAATATATTGGTCGCTTGTTTATCTCTGGGTTTACTCAGTAAAAGCATCAAGACTTGTTTCAGCATTTCACTGTCTTTCCCATGAAATGTTATCGTGTTTTGTTTCCCCGGATACCAAGTTAGGGTGAGATCATAGTCACTACATTGGGACTGTTTAGCTGTGCCTCCAGGTGATTTCCAAATTCCCGATAAACTGACAACATCTTCGACAAATTTTTTCAATGCATCAAGACCCATGCCCACTTTATACGACAACTATCGTAGATTAAACAAGACTGTTTATTTAAGAGCTTTATTGAATTTACATCAATGTTTTCAAATGTAAAATTTGTCTGAGCAGTCTGTACTGCAGCCATGTCTGAGCAGTCAACCGCCGAGTCTGTTTATGTATGTCATGTTATGGACACAATTTTCGCACTTTTTAGCGCCAGAAATTGTCCAAATTCGTTTCAAATACGTCCCCCAGTCTTCTGTTGTTGCTGAATGTTTTGTTAGCTTTTTTTAAAACAGTAAAATTATTGATATAATTTCAGTAAAAATTTGTAAAATTCAGCAGTTCAAAAGTATACGTCCACAC